CCATCACATGTAACGGTTACTTGGGAAGACAAACGCCATCACTACGAACATCCTGCCCTTCCTCCTTCTTCCCCCAGCTTTATATGCTGAGCATGACGTCATATGGTATGGAATATCCCTTTGGTCAGTTGGGGTCAGCTGTCCCAGCTGTGTCCCCTCCCAACTTCTTGTGCACCCCCAGCCTCCTCGCTGGTGGGGTGGTGTGAGAAGCAGAAAAGGCCTTGACCCTGTGTCAGCACTGCTCAGCAGTGACTAAAACATCCCTGTATTATCAACACTGTTTCCAGCACAAATCCAAAACACAGCCCCACACTAGCTACAATGAAGAAAATTAACTCTATCCTAGCCAAAACCAGCACATAGGCAAAAAACTCTCTCTCGAATGAAGCATGCAGTGATAGGTTTAACAGGTTAGCAGTGTTTGCCTAGCACACCCACTCTCCTAACAAATACTAATCTTGCTGACTTGCCTATGGGCTAACTGGGTTTTCTCAGTTGTGTTGTTCATGGCCTCTTTACCTAATGTGAATTAAAGTGTTTGGGAGCATCTACCAAGCACAGCTAAGGGATCTAAAGTATGTATAAAGCAGATTTATGAGAGAGAAGCCTCAGAAAAGCCCAGCTTGGTAAGACATCTCATTATGCCATGATGCAAAGCCTCAGGAATGAAATTAATTTGGCTCCGGTATAAGGTTGTGACTTTGCTTTATACAGCAATTGGAGAAAGGCATTTGCTCTCGGTAAGCTGCTGTATACAGCTGTGGTAAAGTTTAGAAGAATCCCAAAAGGGTGACAGTCTCTCTTACTGGAATAAACCGCTGCTTCCATTTTCCTCAGAATATTTCAGGATTTCCCTGATTTTAATAAGTTTTTAAATTATTCTATCATGAAAAACTGAAAGCTGAAGAAAATAGGCACAGGAACGTGGGCACTCCATGAAATCCCAGTTCTCAGTACCCCATAAAACTCTCCAGTTTAGCTTTGTCTTCCTTCCTCCCAGAAATAAACATCTTCTTAGAGGCAAATTTTGATTTCACAAGCACAAACTCAGTTACTATTAATTGGAGCTGTGCAAGAATCAGAAGTCCACATTTTCCTTCCCTTAAGCCACATAAAAGTAAATGTGAATTGCTATGACTGATTATGTACAAAAGCTGCAAAGGAATCATCATTGTGAATTTTTTGCAGGGTGCAAGCAAGAGGGGATTAAAGAACTAAGATACCGCCTTTCTGATTCTCACATCTCTCCCAGTTCTTGCAAAGTGTTATATCTAATGCTAAAACTCTGTGAAATGCAAAATAAGGAAATCTTGTTTCTTTCTGTCCTTCCTCCTGCCAACTCAAACCAACCCAAGACCACTATGCCTGCCATTTCACACCTCTCATCTCTACCAGACACACATCTTTAGGTACGTCATGTTCCCAAACTTCAGATCACCTGAGGATCGAGACGCTGGGATCAATGCAAGCAGTCATCAGCCTTTCCATCCCAATATCCCTACCAAGGCTTTTGATGTGGTTCTGAGGAAGACCAGAGGTAAGACCACACTCTTTTGGTTTACCATTTATTCTTGAAACTTACTTAGAAACACTACTGAAGTCATGACTCTTTTCTACTGAAGCTTAACACAGCCAGAATCTGAATATAATAATATTTCATTGATCATTGGTCAATTTAAGAAACACTAATCATGTGTGGAGGTGGGCTTACAAAGCCTTTTTTTGCACAACAGGAGGATCATCGAAGGCCAAGACCTATTTCCAGCAAATCTTAGCAGGTTCAGAATTACTAGCTAAGGGGGCAGCTACCACTAGCACTTAGAAAATACTTTAACTTCATTTTTTGTTCCCTCCATATGGTTTGACTTCCTCTAAGATCAGGACACTCCAGTTCTCAGTGACTGAAGGAGAAATCTCTGGTTAAGTACAGATAACCCAGACCACACTCAGGTGACTTTTACCACTGGAAGGTTGTATTTAAAACCTTTGTGCCTTTTCCACATCTTACCTTTACAAAACTCAGAGTAGCTATTATGTAGTTAATGCTGACAGCATCATTGTGAGGTAAATAGGGAAATTGAGGCAGAAAGACTGGAGAGAAGAAGCAGTGATAGAACCAGGGTTGGAAATTAAGCTCTTCCAAGCATGCACTGCAGTTTCATTTTTATAAGACATGTAGTAGCACTCAGTTATTCCTCTGATGGTGACATTATGAATATAATTTACCTAATGTGAATTAAAGTGTTTGGGAGCATCTACCAAGCACAGCTAAGGGATCTAAAGTATGTATAAAGCAGATTTATGAAAGAAGAAGCCTCAAAAAGCCCAGCTTGGTAAGACATCTCATTATGCCATGATGCAAAGCCTCAAGAATGAAATTAATTTGGCTCCGGTATAAGGTTGTGACTTGGCCTGTTCAGGACGCTGGTTGAGAGAGTCCCATGGGAGACGGTCCTGAAGGGCAAACGGGTCCAGGAAGGCTGGACGATCTTCAAGAAGGAAGTCTTAAAGGCGCAGGAGCAGGCTGTCCCCATACACCGTAAGAAGAACAGGCGGGGAAGACGACCAGCCTGGCTGAACAGGGAGCTTTTGCTGGGAC